ATCGTGGCTGTTGAACCAAAGGTCGTAGATTTCATTCCCATTCAAAAGAAATATTGTGTGATGAGCACGATCATTTGTTCTGTGTGGATATAATTTATCCATAATATGTATATAGTTAAAAATATATAAGTAAGTTTACTTGAGAATATATGTGCCCTAGCACCTTTATTTTAGCCGTAAAGGGTTTACGCTATTTGTACCAGGGACTTCCTTTCTAGGGTATACCTGGTTCCCCGGCTATTAGTACCCGAGACGGCGTGCGGTTTTAGTCGGTTCGAGACCGACATGCCACCGACAGGTGGTATCCGAGGGGAAAAAAAAAAGGGTTTACGCTATTTATCACCGTAGATATGTGGACTTTAGTTGTTTTTTTTTTTCATGATATTGGGAACCCTACTGTACTCTATCGGGCATAGGCATTTAAGTATGTTTATATGGAAATATATGTGTGCAGTTTATGGAAACAAGCTTGCACATACGTAAGTGACACTCAAATTTACAGTCGGCAAAATATGGGAGTTTAATTTGTCTCTCTGTGTTCCTTCTTCCTCTTTCTTCCCTTCTGGGATAAAGACGTGAATTGATGTATGTATGTATAGGTAATACATGCAGGTATAGATCGAGTATCTACAAAATAATACGATTGTTTGTAAACGTATCGGATGCTCGGAACTAGTCAACAACACGACACACGACACGCATTAGCTCTGCAAAGCGAAAGCGAAAATATCACCGTGACTTACAGCATATTTAAGTATGAGTATTTGTGTATATTCATATAGGTTCTGTTGAATTTTATATACTGGATTAAATATAGCCCTGGATGTCAGGCCAAGTATTCTTCAATAACCAGGGAAAAAATTGTGATGTCGACGGGCCTGTTGGTCCAGAGGTTAGTGACCCTGACTGCTTAGCCAGGAGCCGTTGGTTCGATTCCCACCCAGCACAAATAATTGTGTGATGAGCACGATCATTTACTTTGTGTCTTAAGTATGATATGTGTTTAATACGCACTATGTAGGTACATAATATACAGTTGTAGTATACGTACACTTGAAATATGTAGTTATTTTAAAATACTGTATTTGCCCACAAGAAACAAATTCAAATTTGCATTTATAACATTTGTTACAGTTAAATTTCCGTGAATGCATTTTTTTTATTGTAAACCTTGTTGGCTTACTCATATATTAAGGTTACAGTTAATTATACTGTATAGATTGTTAAAACAAAAACACACTTAAATAATTAACCAACTTAAAAAGTAAAAACGAGTTCTAGCTCCTAGGTTTATCATCAGATCACTGTTACTAACTCGAGTTTGATGGACTCGTCAAAACGATTCATAGGAGCTCAAACTTGAGGAGTATACCAGTAGCCACTTAAGATTTAAACTGTCCACTGATTTAAAATATCAGATGATCAAACTACCCCATTATCAGATCTTCAAAATTCTAGTCATCCAAACATGGATGCGGACTGCTCAAGACAATTCATTTTGATACAATAATCACACTTTAAAATCAACCTCCAATATTTGTCTACACAGCTAGTAAAAAAAAACTGGATGTCCAAATACCTCTTCCCCTATTCTCTGGGGGAAGGAGGGGAACTCAAAGTCCGGCAACCCATTTGTGGCTCTTGTGTTGCAGGCATTCATGTGCTAATAGACACTTACTATCACATGTCCCCCCTTTTTGCCTCCTATACCTTAGAAAAACACATCCATTGATACCTTTCTATATTTCTTTCGTTAAAAATATTATAAACGTTCAAGTAATACGGCAATTGTCTTTTATCATTATTTCAATCAACCTTGTAGAATGTTGTGCTTGTTCGATAATGAATGTTATACAGGTTATACCACTTGCGATGTTAATGACTGAGTTTAAAGACACTCCGGGAGAAAACAGATGATGGTAGACGTGCATTCCTGTTGTACTATTATAAACTATAGAACATCCAATTAGTACGGGAGAGAACTGAGGAGTTTGTTTGGTTGAACGCGCTAATCTCAAAAACTACTGGTTTGATTTGATAACTAGTTATAGTGTTTGATAGGTAATTTATCGAGGAAGGCTATAGGCTATATATTATCAAGCTACGACAAATAGGAGCCGGGCAGTAATGAAAAATGTTGCAAATTTTTTATTCCTATTGAGAGACGCAGACTGAGTTATTAGTATAAAATTATTGTATCAAATAAATAAAGCTATATTAAATGGTATTGCTGTATAAAAAAATTCCAACTACTCCAACCACATACTTTCACTAGTTTATTGCTAAGGACTAGTTTTTATAGTAGAATAGGCAAACAAGACAAGTGCTACGTTATTTCACGTCAACCCGAGGCCCTAGTGCGAGTGCGATTGGCACCCGCTGAACTCTATACCAATCACAGCGCCAAACGCGCTCACCGTGACGATTGAATAGATATAAAATAAACTCGCACTAAGCCCTGCGAGCGTTACAGTGACTGCGTTCGACATTGTGATTGGTCCGCACTGAAATCTCCACCAATCCCAGCGCCGTTCGCTGTTAAGAGCGAGTTAATTTGAAATATTGACTACCGCCGGGTATTGACACCCGCAACTAGAGAGTCACGATTGCATTGCGGAGTTTGAATGCCCCCCCCCCCCCCTTGGAATAGTATGGGTTGAATCTCCGGTAAGCTCACACAATCGGTGAAATTCGACGAAGGAATAGCCAAAATCGGTTTGCGTCACTTTAACTATTTACGGTTATTAAACCATGAAGGTATTCATTTCATTGATATATGAAAGGGCCTCTGTGTTTGTCATGCCATTGTTCTTTGTAGTTATCGTTGCAAGAATTAACAAAGCCAAATTGTGGTGATAATACGCGTTCATGGACTGTTTTTTTTTAACTGGGTTAAAAAAGAAGATAATCAATTCGTGCGAATATTTTTATTTTTAAGTTATGCGATATCTTTGGACGCAATTAACTAATTTTGACCATTTACATCAACAGCCTTTAATAGTCCACTGCTGGACATAGGCCTCTCCTTAGAAAGAAGGTTTTGGCCTACTATACCACGCTGGCCAGGCGGGTTGGTATAGGGTTTGTGTCAAGTTTTCCTTCTTTTTGCAGTGCTGGCGTCCTGCGTTGTTTTGCGCCCTTAGTCGGCTCTTACGACACCCACGGGATGAATTGGGGAGTGACATTCCGTATTCTTAATCCGTCACTACACGGACTTTTGACCATTATTTTTTAAAATTACATTTCCTATAATTAATATTATTTAACGGGAATTAACGCGATCTCTTATTTAGGGTATTACATACCTCTGTTTGCCTGACGTTTCGACCAGGTTGCACCGGCCGTGGTCACAGGCTGACTGGACACAGACAGACCAGTCAGTCAGTCAGTGTCCAGTCAGCCTGTGACCACGGAAAGTTTAAAAACATTTACTATACTCAAGGTTGCTTCCGTTTTAATTTGAACCATATATTTTGACACGGAGAGTGGACAATTAAGGTATATACATGACAACTTATTTGTACTCGCCGTGATTGATGCACATTGAAGTCATTTTTTTTTCTTTTATAGAGGTCTATTAGTAACTGAAATTACTGGTAACCCCTCCCGTTAAGCTAAATTCCTTGTGTTAGGAGTGGGTTCACGTCCGTAGTGTACTGGCCAGGATTTGAACCCACGACCTGTTGATCGAAAGTCCAACGCCTTAACCACTAGGCTATCGCCGCTTAAGTTGGTACCAGTAGTATCTTTTTAAATAAATGTAGTCAAACATAAGTCTTATCTATACTAAGATTATAAAGAGGAAAGATTTTTTTTATTGTATGTAAGGAATAGGCTCTGAAACAACTAAACTGTTTTTAAAAATTCTTTCACCAATATAAAACTACATTATTAGCGAGTAACATCGCGCTACGATCAATGGGGGCGGAGTATTTATAAAAATGTTTGCATAAACGGGGAAAATTTAAGTAAAGTTTCATTTTTTTTTCTTTTATAGAGGTCTATTAGTAACTGAAATTACTGGTAACCCCTCCCGTTAAGCTAAATTCCTTGTGTTAGGAGTGGGTTCACGTCCGTAGTGTACTGGCCAGGATTTGAACCCACGACCTGTTGATCGAAAGTCCAACGCCTTAACCACTAGGCTATCGCCGCTTAAGTTGGTACCAGTAGTATCTTTTTAAATAAATGTAGTCAAACATAAGTCTTATCTATACTAAGATTATAAAGAGGAAAGATTTTTTTTATTGTATGTAAGGAATAGGCTCTGAAACAACTAAACCGATTTAAAAAATTCTTTTACTAATATAAAGCTACATTATTAGCGAGTAACATCGCGCTACGATCAATGGGGGCGGAGTAAATATGAAAAATGATTGCATAAACGGGGAAAATTTATTACTTTTGTAAGCTTACATTACGTACGCTACTTAAACAGTTAAAGTTTCATAAATCATCAATCAGTTCAATCATCAATCAGTTCATCAATCATCAGTTCATCATCAATCATCATCATCAATCAGTTTTGAAAAATCATGTATGACAGAATTGTTCCTTTTAAAGATTACTCAAAAAAAAGCCGCAATAGTAAATGTCTATATTTTAAGGTTGACTCACTATAACCTTTTTATGGTAATAAAATATGTTCTAAAATAATGCTCATTTGTGAAGGTGTTTTTATAGACATTGTATTCATCGTTATCGACATAAATACGTTAATCCTTACAATTATTTAATTTTGAACAAAATTGCCCTTTCCATCATTTAATTCATCCATCATTGAACATCTTAGGAGATATCACAGTTTTGAAATAACTCCGCAGCAAAATATTGATTGTGGGAGGCGTCGCGGCGGGGGTGCCCGATCCGACCATCCGAGTTGTCCAGCTGGTTGGTCAGTTAGTAACGAAAGATATTATCATATTCATTACCCATAAAATATTAAAAAATAACAGTCTCATTATATATTTATTTTAACAGAATAGCTGAAAGTTCTTAAAACGATGCAAATTTCTATACTGTTCGCTGTAGGGTAACTGGGTAAACACTTGGTCACTTTTTTATCGCACATATCTCAAAATCTATTCATCAGATTGATTTGAAATTTGGTATGATAGATTGTATTCTGAAAGCTGCTGTATATTTCATCAGCTTTCAGAATATTAAATTATTTCATCATCATCATCATCAACAGCCTTTAATAGTCCACTGCTGGACATAAGCCTCTCCTTAGAAAGGAGGTTTTGGCCTACTATATACCACGCTGGCCAGACGGGTTGGTATAGGGTTTGTGTCAAGTTTTCCTTCTCTCTGCAGTGTTGTTGTTCTGCGTAGTTTTTTTCCTTAGTTGACTCTTACAACACCCACGGGATGAATAGGGGTGGTGACAATCTGTATTCTTAATCCGTCACCACACCGTCACCACACCACACACCACACAAATCATTTAAAAGAGCATAATTGACCTACTGTATACATAGGGTGGTGAACAACGAATCACCCCTGGTTAACAATGGGTCTAGAGGTTTTTATAGATAATTAAAGACTACTCGTACTATGAAATTATATCATCAAAGAATAAATGAAAGAAATACAAATTAAATTAATTTAATTAAAAATAATTTGTTTTCAGTATTATAAACTAAATGTACATACTAAACGAAGTAACATTTTTTAAATTATTAAATAATTATTATCAAAAGTCTGATATTTATTTGAAAATAAAAGTAATTGTTTAAAGAATATTTTTACAATTTAATACTTGCTAAGATAAGGCAATCAGGGAAGATAACAATTGCATTTCTGCCTTTAACAAATAGACGTACTGTCTCGGATATTGTTACATTATTAAAAATCATTAACGGAGATATAGATTGCTCGATTCTTCTAGAGAAAATTAAAATCAGAGTACCGCATAATTTACGCACTAGGCATAATCCACCCTTAGCAGTACCTCGAACAAATTCCAACTACCGCAAAAATTCCTTTATTATTCGAGCTTATTCCTTTATTATGATATGTAGAAATTGAGTAGCGAGTTTGAGCTCTTCAGATCCAGAACTTCGCAAGTCAAAAAATACATGCTTCAAAAATTTTTTCAACCCAATATTAGGAGCGTGACATTTTCTTAGTCTAAGTTTTTATTTTTTCCTTTTTCTAAGTTGTTGTTGTTAAGTTACTTGAACTGTTGTTTTACACTTGGAATCTATTTGCGAATACCTGTAAATAGCTTCGTTGTAACCTTACTCTAATGTTTTACCTTGCGTTATTTGTGCTGTTGGTATTCCGAACAAAATAAAATAAAATAAATTTGCTTCGTCAGGAATTGCAGCAACTCTCACAACGAAGGCATATCTGCCCATTCCACTTTTAAACTCGCGTTATCCGTCTCTTAAGAGAAACGATCCACATGTCCTGTCCGTGAAAATGGACCTCTAGATAAATTATGAACAAAATGAACCGCTGCACCAATTTTGATAAAAATTGGTATGGGGGCAGCTCATACATAGGCTTTTTACAGTGATAACCGACATCCAAGAGGGCGAAGCCGCGGGCAAAAGCTATTCCTACTAATATTATAAATGCGGAAGTGTGTCTGTCTGTCTACCTATCTCTCTGTCAGTCTGTCTGTTACCTGTTCACGCTTAAACTGTTGAACCTATTTTGATAAAACTTGGTGTTAAGATTGTTAGAGTCCCGGTAAATTACGTAGGATAGTTTTTATCCCAGAAATCATCCTTTGGGGGGTGTGAAAAGGAGGGTGGAAGTCTGCATGGGGAATCAATAATCGCTTAACTGATTTAGCTGAAATTTGGTATGAAGATAGTTTGATTCTTGGGAAAGGACATAGACAACATCTTACCGCGAAATCCGACATACACGCAGCGGAGCCGCGGGCAAAAGCTAATTAGCTACAATTCCCATTTAATATACACAGTGACCAGTTTACGGAAATTCGCTTGATACTTCGACTGAAGTGTGTTATAGTCGATTAAAGTATAGCCGTGTAATACGCTTCTGCCTACGCTTTTGAGGATATTGCGAGCTAGCTAGCGTTCCTAAAGGGGCTTTCCTTTATTCATCATCATCATCAACAATCTTTAATAGTCCACTGCTGGACATGGGCCTATTCTTGGAAAGGAGATTTTGCCCTACTACAACACGCTGGGCACACTGATTAGAGTCATGTAAAGAAATAAAACTGTGCATAAATCGAAGATGTTAAAAAAAACAGTTTATAATTGTACGAAAACCCGAAACCGACGCCTAGATTTAATAAAAATATTAAAGATAAAAAAATGTATAATATCTTGTTATTTTTTACTAGCCTTTTCTTGCGGTGTCTCTAGACTAAAATTTGTTTGTTCATCCCTAGAGAACTCTTTCCTGAATGAAAGATACACTATCTCCATTTTAAGCGGGCAATGTGTAACGGGCAACGGTATAGCAATGTACAAGTGGTTTGTTAAATGATGAATAATTTGTACTTACATTTTATTTTAACTTTTCTTTATTTTTTTCTAGTCTAGTCGGATTGTCACTACCCCAATTCATCCCGTGGGTGTCGTTATAGCCGACTAAGGGCACAAAACAACGCAGGACACAGCACTGCAAAAAGTAGGAAAACTTGACACAAACCCTATACCAACCCATCTGGCCAGCGTGGTACAGTACGCCAGAACCTCCTTTTTAAGGAGCGGCCTATGTCCAGCAGTGGACTATTAAAGGTTGTTGTCGTAATGATGATGTTATGTGATCTTTTTCTATAAAAAGACACCTCCCGCATTAGGAATATATCCTGTGTCACGGGGACTTTTACAAACATACATGAAACGGACACAAAGAACACCCAGACTCAGAACAACTATTTGTGGATCACACAAAGTGTCGTCCCATGTAGGGATCGGACCCACAACACTCAGCGTAGTAGTAACCGGCGTAGCAACCACTTAAACCACTACGCCATCCGTTCACAATTAATGATATGATGAGATAATATAGTATATTTCACATAGACTGCCGTCTATGGTCGATGATTAAAACTCTAAGATTTTTTATATTCTGTATACCTGTACTTTAGCTTACCCATACCAACACAGAAATATTGATAACATTCTGACCAAATAACCAGACAATACCTTACCCGATTTTTAATAAATTTCTTCATAATAATTATCATTCAATAGAAAATATACTTGGGTTGTGTATATTCTATTTTGATAGTCGTTAAACAATAATATTCCGTCCGAATATTTAAAACCAAATTTATCTAAATTCTTTCAAAAACTATTATGAAGAATTAATTTTTATATATATAGTGCAGGTATTAAGATTGGAATTATTATATAGTATACGAGTACAATATTATTAAAGGTGAACGATGATACATAGATAATAATGTGTGACCCATCCTTAGCGGTCATTAACAAAATCATTTTAATTTTTATACCACAAGAACTTGCTGAACTGCGTAACTTCACCTGTGTCTCTCAAAAGGAATATATTGTCCCCGTTTTTGCTACATTTTTCATTGATACTCGGTTCCCATTGATCGTAGCGTGATGTTATATAGCCCATAGCCTTCCTGGATAAATAGACTATTAAACACAAAAAGATTTTTTCAATTGTTCTCAACAGTTCCTGAGATTAGTACGCTTAACCAAACAAACAAAATCTTCAGCTCTAAATTGGTATAGATTATTTGTCCTAGGTAGGAATCATACTCATGACCTCAGGCTTAGCATTTTAGACCACTAACCACAAGGCAGGCTAGTAAAAGAAAACTGACCACACTAAATCCTTTCTCAATCTTTACAGATGTGCGATCCCAGAGTGCGAAGGTGAAATATTTGAACTAAACTCCACAATACCGCACGACCACAACGGTGAACCCGATAAGTGCTTTCGGTACGCACCATTCACCAACATAACGCGCTTGACCAACACCAGCCAATGTTTGCCACACTTATTTGACACATCGACGAAGATAAAGTGCGACTCTTACGTTTATTTAGAAGAACATTCTATTGTTAAAGAGGTTAGTTACATTCAATTTCTTTTTTTAATGGAATATCACCAACAATATAAGGGCTACGCTGTCCGGACTGTCAGTCTGCCCATCTCATCAATCATCATCAACAGCCCATAATAGTCCACTGCTGGACATAGGCCTCTCTTTAAAGGAGGTTTTTGCTTACTATACCAGGCTGGCCAGACGGGTTGGTATAGGGTTTGTTTCAAGTTTTCCTTTCCTTTGCGCGGTGCTGTTGTCCTGCGTTTGATGCCTTAGTCGGCTTTTACGACACCCACGGGATGAATAGGGGTGGTGACATTCCGTATTCTTAATCCGTCACCACACGTCTGCCCGTCTGCAGTTGATTAACTACAAAATTATGAAACGGATTTTAATATGATTTTTACTAATGGCTACAATGATTTATAAGGTTAGGTTGACTTGGAAAAAATGCCTATGGCATTAAGTGCGCCATAGTAAAATTAAGTTGCAATTTGTGCATAAGGAATTAAAATAAAATTCGGAAGGCTTTTGTATAATTTTAATAAAATATAGCGGCAATTATTTAATTATAGAGAGCTTTACTGACTTGCGCCGCATAAAATATTGTTTGTATTACGAATTTATTCCTACTCAAACGATACATAGAATATAGTATATGCTTTCTGCAACCTGGTAGAAATATAAGTAAAAGAAATACAAAGTAGTGAGGGAGTTACCTCAAGCACGATCAACCTTGCGAAAAGCATTTTCCGAAAAAAATAATACCACTTCTCAAAAAAAAAATGTCGGCTCTATCGCAGTGATAGTACGACCTCACAGAAATCCTTTGTTAAGTAATTCTGCGGTTGGTTTGCACCGAGTAAGTGACCGTACTGGAGCCCAACCCCCTCCCCCGTCCCCCGGGGCGGGGCTCAAAACGCGTCACTGCACCCTATGAATCCTGATTTGTAGAAGTCCACTTAGTCACTTAGCACCGGGTGACCCGTCTTTTCGTTTGCCTCTCAATTACATAAAAAAAAACATTCCCAAGGAAGATTGTTACCAGGCATGTGACTGGTCGCAACAAAATGCAGCCAAAACATTTTGCAATGATACACTTGTGCTGACCCCAAATATTATTGAGATAAGAAATATCTAGAAAGAATAAAACAAGGTCTATAAATAAGTACATTATTGAAAGAGTTATTCTTTAACTATTAAAGGTTAAGAACCTTTCCATCATCAGCTCAGCACCATGAGATAACGACTACCAAACGCAAATACCTGCATAGCTAAAGAAACAAGCTAAAACACGTTGTCGGGGCTGTAAAATTTGAGGGTTTCCCTCGATTTCTTTGTAATCCCATAATCAGATCCTAATTTGATGGTAACAAGAAAATAATTTGGAAAATCAGTCAAGAATTCGTCTAGTTCGAGATATTGCGTGATAAACATCCAAAAATCGAATTGAGAACCTCCTCTTTTGTGTTGTTGAAGTCGTTTAAAAGGCGTACTAAAAATTTATTAAATGTTGAGTTTTAATTCTACAATAATATAAATCCTACGTACTTACCAACACACGTGTGTATTTACTACACCAGGAATGTGCATTCCATCACTGATTGTCACAATTGGAAACGCATTTTGCCAATTTCATTAATTACTAACCTACCATAACGAACGCGTCCACGGTAGTGTTAAACAACTTTTAGAAAATGTACCTACTGAATATACATACATATACATCTGGTTACTTATTTAGGACAATTTGCGCCCCACGGGTTATCCCACGGGAACACTACACATTACATCAGGATAAAAAGTAGACTATGTGTTAATGCAAGGTGTCAGCTATCACCTATCACACGTATCACCACACATTTACAATTTAATCGAAATTCGTCCAGCCGTTTGAGCGTGAAGAAGTAATAAATAGGTATACAAACGCACACACTCACAAACTTTTGACTTTTTAATATTAGTGTGATGGGTGATGGGATTTTGTGATAGAGACTAAACTACGAGTACAAACATTCAAAAGTGAGTCTATTTATTAGTGATTCAGACATTCAGTGAATCACTGAAATTCACTCAGATAATGAGCCAGACTTCATGGATTCGATATCCACACTGAAAAAATCATTGGGTACTTTATCATTTATTCTGTTCTGGGTGTAATTTGTCTATAACAAATATTTAGTAATATAAAAGAATATTATCAGTCGTCTGGTTACCGTAGTACAGGCAATGCCTTGTTTGGAATCAGACCGCCGTGTGTACTCTTCTTAATACTTCTTATTGTTTCACACTGAGCGCGTCAGGTCGGCTCTTAAGCATCCTTATTTCAATGACCCAAACTCTTCTTTAAATGTGATAAAAATATTGTTTGTAAAAGGTAAATAAAGAAATACACTGTCCCTCTCCTGGTTTTATCATCAGTGATTAGTGACAAGGCCAATTCGTTGAACTCGTCAAAACGGATCACATTAGTTGAGATCGAGGTAGTAACTGAAGAGTTCTACTATAGAAATCCTGGCAACTTCATCAACTCACCAGAGATGAGGATATGCCAAATTACAGTATCCTCATTCAAGTACATGTTAACAGAAAGTTCGGTGTCAATACGACAATTAGAAATAGGTTTAAACTCACTTCCAAGATTTCCTTACGTAGTTACAAAAAGTGAAGGCTTATTAACTACATACAATTATTAAAATTGGAGCGAAACTTATTATCATTCACACCTGTGTAAGGTTAGGTAATGGTTTCTTAATATAAAATGATTGTTTTTAAATATGTTAGTATTTAAATTTTTACACAGCCAATGCCATCACTTGAGTCATCGACTTCCCTGATTAATAGATTTTAGTGAGACTTAAGAATAACATTGCAACATTGACAGGGGAAGTGGATGACAATAGTGAGGATTGGAAGGGGGTGAGAAAAAAATGGAATGGAGAGCGAGTCAGTCGAATTGGGAGGGCCAAAGTGGTGAGTCGTACTTACTTATAATTGAGAGTGAAATGTAATGATTGTAAAGCTGAAATACAATAGTGGTGTTATTACTATATATATATATATGCGTATATAGGAAGCATGTTTATTATACCTGTTACCTAATCGCATTAGTATTAAAATAATTATATATATATTGAAACGCGAAAGTTTAAAAGTACACATTGTACATAATCACACCTCATAAAAACTTCTAATAACTCAAATAACACTCTAATAATACATTGTCCTCTATTGTTGGAAAATATAATAACTATTCATCATATAATATAAAAAATTAAGGGACATTTAGATATAATCTGCAGTTATCAGAAAAACATGTCTAACAGCTGTAATGCTAAGTTACAAATGACTGAACGTTGTGAAGCTTTTTAGTTTAAAATAATAAAAATCATCTTTCATTGTTAATTTGTATAAGAGTGAACTGAAATACTATGAATATTCCACTATGGGGGTGATGAAATGTCTATTTTTTCCAAAAATAATTTGAATTGAAGAACATTGAAATTGCAAAAATACAGACACAAAATCATTGATCGTAGAAAAAAAATATTAAAAATTTCTAAGTCTTTTCTTTACGCTAAATCGATTTTATTGGCTACAAAAAACCCTACTAAAGCTCAACCGCACTTTTCTATAAGAAAGGTTTTAGAATAGCAAATTTTAAAACGCATCACACAAAAATTAGCAAAAAATATGACATTAATGTTGAATTTCTCTATGTTTACCTAATGTGACAACATTGACTTGACATATTTTAACTAACCATTATAATAATCATTGCTATTTCTTTGTCCACAAGCGTAATTTACAAAGCTAACAAAATGAGAACAGGTGGTTTTTTTTCTGTATTCTACTGATTCCGAAACGCCTCTGTGAACACAATAAACACATGCATTATAATAGTAAGTACACAGTGGCAAATAGATTGCGTGAAAATTACAAGATTATGACACACTGTTCGAATAAATACTTAATGCTCATGTGCCTGTAGGGAACTCTTATTTTAAAGGCACTCGAAATTAAAACAAAAAGTCGTCTTCGTTACACTTATGAAAAGCAACTATTGCTTTTAAATTATCGAGACGTTCGCAACACTGAGTAGACTGGGTTTAGAGCCTGAAAGAAAAGGAAATGACCTTAAAATCACTCGAGAAAGGAGAAAAAGGAGGAGCTTTAAAAGTAAATTGTCTTGACTAAGTTCGTGTATAGGTTTGTTGGTTGTTTACGTGGAAAGGCCAAGTTTTGGCACAAATTGGCCGACTTGACCGGAGTGTCATCACGGCCTCACAGATAAAAAGGCTACCTTGATAGTGCAGTGGTAGTGTATGCGACTGCTGTACTAACAGGTCGGACTAAATGTTTGTATGATCTGCAAATATTTGTGTCGGAGTTTGGGTGTTTTCTATCTATAATATGTATGTATTTAAAAAAAAGAGGATATAAGTACTACCGTCGCCCATAGGGACGGCGGGACGACGACGACGTTCCTTACCATCAGATGACCCGTCTGCCCATTTGCTCTCCGAGAAGAGAAACTGGTTAAACAACTAACAGTGGTGTGTACCGATTTTCTGAGAAACTCCTTTTTTACTCTTCCCTTCAAAAGGTGCCAAAGCACACCACCATAGAATCAAATTCAAATTATATATCTGCTTTAAATGGGGTAGTAAATAATGTGGTATTGTAATACAAGTTTGATATAAATCGAACAGGCTAAATGCCATGAAAATAGCATGCAAATTTAACAAATTATTAAAATAACTTAGTTAACTTCTAAGTTATTTTATATATATATATAATATTATAATATTATTATTATTGTCTCATCACCGGAACTACACTTGCTAGCGTCTCGTCCACATCTTTATCCTCTCTATTACCATTACAATGGCTGTCAACATTATATTTCATTGCTAATTTACAAAGAATAACTTTGTGGTTCTTGTGAATTTATTTTCAATGTAACTTATACTCTCGATTGTCGGCACTTTGATAATGCATAAAAACGAAACCGGTCAGATCAA